GCCGCGCGCGCTGGCGCGCTGGGCAGCGGGGCGCGCTGGCGCGCTGGGCAGCGGGACGAGCTGGCGCAATGGGAAGCGGGGCGCGCTTGCGCGTTGGGCAGCGGGGCGCGTTGGCGCGCTGGGCAGCGGGGCGTGCTGGCGCGCTGGGCAGTGGGGCGTGCTGACGAGCTGGGTAGCGGGGCGCGCTGGCGCGCTGGGCAGCAGGGCGCTCTGGCGCGCAGGGCAGCAGGGCGCACTGGCGTGCTGGGCAGCATGGCGCACTGGCGCACTAGGCAGCAGGGCGCGAGAGGCATGCGGGGGCGCGAGAGGCATGCGGGGGCGCGAGAGGCATGCGGTGGCGCACGAGGCGTGTGGAGGCACGCGGGGCAGTTCACACATCCGCGGGTAGGGCAGTAACTGGGCAGGGCAGGACGAATGGTGGGCCCTAAAAAAAAAACGGTCCTGTGGAGCGAACCGCTCTGAAACCATGTCAGAACCAACGAGCATGAATGATTGAGTAGCATGAGGAATGAGTACAAGTACTAGGTCTAACCCTAAAGTGTTGTACTCAGTAGAGGCTACCCCGCTATAGCCTGCAGACATACAAACAAAGTTTGACAGAAGTCCATTGTTACTTGCTGGTAGGTGCACTCGGGCGACGGAATCAGCTCCTGTTGACCTGCGTTTTTCTTGCGCGAGCATTTTATCACTTGGTGATGTCTGTCGGTCAGTAGCTCAGGCCAGTGATAAAACCGATGTTGTTGCTGTCGAGTGATAAATCCTAAGCCTGAAAGTGACCCGAGGTAATCCCATCGTGTGCCTCTTGTAGTAACAATTCTGTAGCAGTGAGTACGCTGGTACCCATTTACGTAATAAACTCCCTTAGCTGCCACAAATTACCAGCGGTACTGGAGGAGCTGGAGCTATAGGTGCTGGAGGTACTGGAGGTACTGGAGGTACTGGAGGTACTGGAGCTAATGGTGCTAGAGGTGCTGGAGCTGCAGGTACTGGAGGTACTGGAGCTGCTGGTGCTAGAGGTGCTAGAGCTGGTGGTGCTGGAGGTACTGGTGCTGGAGGAGCTGGAGCTATAGGTGCTGGAGGTACTGGAGGTACTGGAGGTACTGGAGGTACTGGAGCTAATGGTGCTAGAGGTGCTAGAGCTGCAGGTACTGGAGGTTCTGGAGCTGCTGGTGCTAGAGGTGCTAGAGCTGGTGGTGCTGGAGGTACTGGTACTGCGCCACGCCGACCGTTTTCCTACTCGCACCTGCAGTCGTCCCTGCAACCGCCTGACTCGGCACTTCGTAAAGTTCTTAGTCTTCCGTCTTCCAATGGCCTTACTCCGCCTCTCCTGTGTCCTCCGCCTGACCAGTCACAGCCACCGTTGCTGCCTGGCTCCCCACTGCCTGCTCCGTCTCCTTATCCTGCGCAAAAAGGCTCCCTGGCAGAGCGTTGTGAGCCTGAGTCTTGTCAGAAACAAGAAGTGATTGAACTAGGAAGAGTGGTGGTACAAGTATGAAACCCTAAAGTATTGTACCCCCTAAAGGCTAACCCACTGTAGCCTACACAGCAATAACATATATAATGTTTGACACACCCCCATAGGCTAAGTGGGGTAGAGCAAGGAGTCACAAGACCAGTCAAGAAAGAAATCGCAAGCTCAGGGTGGATGACAAAGTCACCACACACTCTGAGCACAAGCAAAGAGCCACAAGGCCGGTTCACATGCAGAGGCATATATGCAACACAAACATCACAGTGATCTCTACCTAGCAATGCAAGCATGCAGGTATATATATATAGATCAAAGTACAGGCAAAGTCTACAGCAAGTGAGGAAAAGTGGGCACAAGTCCTAACAGAGTGCAGAAACGCTGATGATCACCAGACTGAAGTGCCTTGGTGAATATATCTGTAGTGTTGGCCTGACTGGCCACGTAACGCAGACGAAGCTGACCACGCTGCTGCAACTCTCGAGCCAGGAAGTAACGTAGAGCGATGTGCTTCGTACTGTGCTCCAGTCTGTGCTCCTCACACAAGGCAATGGCAGCCTTGTTGTCGACGTACAACACTGGAGGAGAACGAGGCTGCTCTCCAAGGTCGGTCAGCAGGTAGGTGAGCCAGCGTAACTCCAGTGCAGCCATGGCTGTGGCGTAGATCTCAGCCTCAAAACTGGAGCTGAGAACTGAAGACGAACGCGTAGAACGCCACGAAACTGAGCCAGAGCCAAGACTGAAGGTGTAACCCTGTGACGACCGCTGAGTAGCCTGGACATCAACCCAAGAAGCGTCTGAGTGCCCAGTGAGAACAACTGAGCTCCTCCCTCCAAGCACGAGCCCCATGCCCGACGTACTGCACAAGTAGCGCAATACTCTCTTTGCAGCATCCCAGTGCACCTTTCGGTGCCCACCAGGAGCCACATAGCGGGCCAGAAGTCCAAGAGGGTACGCGAGGTCAGGACGAGTGCAAGTCATCAGGTACATGAGGCAGCCAACTAGCTCTGGGTAAGGACCACTCGGCTCTACGGACTCATCCGAAGGCAGAGCTGAGAGCGAGTGACCTGTAGCCAGAGGAGTGGCCTGTGCCGAGGACCAGGTGAAGCCGAAGCGCTGAAGGACCTACTGCACCATGTGTGACTGAGTCAGTGAGATGGTGCGGCGTGCTTTGTCCCGGGTGATCTGCAAGCCAAGGTAGCTGCGCAGTTCACCCAGATCTGTGCACGTGTGTCTCTTCTGCAGCTCCGACTTCACGTGGGCGAGAGCCTCAGTGTCAGCAGTGGCAAAGACCAAGTCGTCGACGTACACGAGGATGTAGAACGGCGGCAGCGAAGTGTCGGTGCGCAGAAACAGCGACGGGTCAGCAGTAGAAGGCGCGAACCCAAGAGCCGCAAGAGTAGTCCTCAGTGTGTCGTGCCACTCACGTGGCGCCTGGCGGAGACCGTAGACCGGCCGCCGGAGGCTCCACTGGGTACCAGGAGGAAACGACCCAGTGAAGCCAGGAGGGCGGCGCAGCCAGATCTCCTCGTGCAGGCTGCCCTGCAAGAAAGCTGTGCTGAAGTCAAGAGAGTGAAGCTCGTAGTCACGCTGAGCGGCAACGTGCAGTACCACTCGAAGAGTGGTCATCTTCGGGGTGGGCGAGAAGGTCTGAAAGAAGTATACTCCCTCTCGCTGACTGAAGCCTCGAGCAACGTAACGAGCCTTGAAGACAGGCGGAGAACCTGGCGGCCACTTCACCCTGAAAATCCACATGCCACTGACGATGTTCGCCCCAGGAGGGGGAACCTCGTTGACGTAAGTGCCAGTGGACTTCCAGGATGCCATCTCTGCGTCCATGGCTGACTGCCACTGAGAGGAGTACTCACCCGCGATCGCCTCAGCGTACGAGCGCGGGGTCGGGATGTCTGGAGCATCCGGGTCTCCCTCAGGGGCAAGCAGCATGGACACGAGATGAGGCGCAACGGCTGCAAGACACTCAAGGTCCTCCTGTCTGTCCTCAAGGACGTCCGTGCCTAGAGCACACTCACCCCCGACGGACGGAGGACAGACAGACTCAGACTCAGCAACAAGACTCGCGGCGTAGTCTAGACGACAGCGAGCAGCAAAGTCGATAAGCTCAGCAATTAGGGCAGACGCAGCAGCAGACTCAAGGAAGGGTCAGTGACAGCAGTGGCCACGAGACGCGTGACAGTAGGACTAGCAGCACGAAGAGAGTCAGACTCCGGGTCAGCAAGGGCAGGAAGAGAGGACGCAGGAGGAGAAGGCAGAGGGACACGCTGCGGAGCAGTGGAAAGACAAAGCGTCATCTGGTGAGTGCCTGGGACAGCAGGAGGACGCTGACACGGGACACGAACAGGCGACGCAGAACGAGACTCAGGCGACACAGGACGAGACTCAGGCTCACGACGCTCCGTAAGACCTCCTGTCGGACCAGTGTAGGGAGAAGGACCAGGGAGGGGCGAGGCAGGCTGTAACTATAACTGCGACTGGACAGGCTGAGGACACTCTAAGAAGGGAGCAGGACAAGGAGGAGGAGGCTGACCAATAACCTGCTGAAGGAGCGGAACGAAGTACGGCCGCGGCCGTGAAGCGCCCCCAGAACCAGCAGAGACAGCAGCTGAACCCCCAGCAGCAGCTCCAACTCCCGTAGCACTACCAGCAGCTCCAGCAGCGCCAACTCCAGTACCCCCAGTAGTACCAGCTCCAGCCGCACCGTCGGCTCCAGCACCTGCAGGACCAACCCCAGGGTCAGCAGCTACACCAACTCCAGTAGGCCCAGCGTCCTCAGCTCCACCGGCAGCTCCAGCAGCGCCAGCACCTGTAACTCCAACTCCCGCACCAGTAGCACCTCCAGTAGCACCAGCTCCAGTAGCTCCAGCTCCAGCAGCACCCCCAGTCCCAGCAGCTCCAGTACCGCCTGTACGAGCACCTCCAGGACCTGAGGCTCCAGGACCTCCAGCAGCACCAGGGCCTCCAGTGGGCGGCACCCCAGTGCCAGGGGCGCCGCTCCGGAGGCCGAAGCGCCGAGCGTACCACTCACGTAGTCGCTGTGGGGAGGGAGGCGACGGCTGTGACCCAGCACCCGTAGCACCACCAGCTCCAACTCCAGCAGAACCCCCAGCTCCCGCAGCCCCACGCCGGAGGCTGTAACGCTGAGAGTACCACTCACGCAGCTGCTGTGAAGAGGGAGCGTCACCAGGCGCAGCACCCCCAGGCTCAGCACCCCCAGGCTCAGCACCCCCAGGCTCAGCACCCCCAGGCTCAGCACCCCCAGGCTCAGTACCCCCAGGCTCAGCACCCCCAGTCTCAGCACCCCCAGTCTCAGTACCCCCAGTCTCAGCACCCCTAGGCTCAGCATCCTCAGTCTCAGTACCCCTCGCAGGACCAGAGTCGACAGCTACCTCGACTGGCTCGACCGGGTCTACCTGGGAAACACCTGAGGGAGCAGGACCCTGGGGAGGGAGGGGATCTACCGAAGCAGCACCTGGAGTGAGGAAGAGCGGCGGGGGGGGGGGAGCGGCGCAGTGTGCTAGGGGAACAGAAGGTAAAAGGGTACCGACTCATCAAAAGTGACGTCCTGAGAGGGGAAGACACGCCGCGAGGTGGGGTGGTAAAACTGCCAGCCAGGCGCGTCAGGGACAAAGCCTAGAAAGACGCAGGGAACGACACGGGAGGAGAGCTTGTCCGCGGACGTATCACGGACAAAGGCTCGACATCCCCAGACTCGGAACACCGACGCATCGCCAACCTTCCCCGTCCAACGCATTGTGGGCGAGGTCTCCGGAGCAGAGACACGGGGCCAGAGGTTGAGCTGATGCGCAGCGTACTGAACTGCAAACGGCCACAGAAAATGGGGGGCAGCCGCATGGATCATGGAGGTACGAGCGACCTCCATGACTAAGCCGATGCGGCGCTCAGCAATCCCATTCTGCTGTGGAGAGGCCGGAAGAGTGAACGTCTGGCGGATGCCGTGCTCCGCACAGTAGGCTGCCAAGAGGCTCACCACCCCGGTCAGAGTGCAGACGCAGGACAGGAAAATCCGACTGGAATCGCTCGCGGAGCTGGAGACGAACAGCGCGGATCCATGGGATCAAAACATCAGGGACCTCTCCCTTGGTGCGCAAGGGGAAGACCGTGGTGTAGCACGTGTAGTCGTCGACGACCAGCAGGAAGTACCGCTCGTGGCCCTGTCCACGGACGCGGGCTGGGCTCCACACGTCCAGGTGGAGAGTCTGCAGAGGAGCCTCTGTGGGAGGAAACGAGGAGGAGTGAGGAGTGGCGCGCTGCCGCCCCTCGACACAGGGAAGACAGGGAGGAGCAGGCGAGGGTGGGAGAGGAGGGAGAACCCTGGGAAGACCAGAGACAAGGTACCGGGAGTGCATGCCACGAAGGCGCTGCACTGAAGGGTGACAAAGGCGGTGGTGCCAGAGGACCGTCTGGTGCGACAGGGTACGACACGAGCAGGGGGCCGACAGCTGACCTGACGCAGACACAGACGCAGCTACCTGAGGGGACTCAGTGGTCAGTGTGTATAGGTCCGACCCCGGCCGCCGAGTAAAGGTAGCCAGGTGGCGACCCGACCGAGCACACGTGCAGTGGGTCATACGCTCATTGGCAGGGGTGAACTGGTGAACACCCCCGTCCTGGAGAGCAGAGCCCGCCACCAAGTTCGTAGAGAATGAGGGGAGGTAAAGACCCGACAGGGTGCCGGCCGGAACCGCCGGACAAGGGAGGACAGTGGAGGAGGTCGCAAGGACTGGACCCCTAGAGGGGTCAGCGAGAGAGACAGCAACTGGTCGAGCTAGCGGCTCAAGGACAGTGCGGTCACGAAAGAAGCAGCGGGAAGCACCTGACTCCAGTGTGAAGGTGTGCAGTGCCTCAGTAGACGCAGTACCAGCAGGCGCAGACTCACAAGCACCTGGAGCAGCAGACTCACTGGCACCTAGAGCAGCAGCCTCACCAGGACGTAGGGCAGCAGACGCACTAGCACCTAGAGCGGCAGTCTCACTGGTCCCTATACCCGGGTCGGGCGGTACCCTCAAGTAGCAGTCACCCTCAACACTAATAGTCAATGCATACATAGCACCAAGAATAGCATCATAATCAAGAGCAAAGATATCAATTCCTTTCTTAAGCAGATCAGCCCAGCGAGGCAACTCAGCGGCATCAGGAAACTGCTCGCGCCAGGCGTCGTCGAGTCGAAAGAAGCAGCGCTGCGCCGTGTGGAACCTCCCACAGGTTTGGCCAGTGCGGTCACCTGTGCGGATGACGTACGGGCAGGTACCTTCACCCCCAGACCCCCCACGCTGAGAGTACCACTCTCAGAGCTGCTGAGGCGAAGGAGTCTCGCCGGGACACTGCTGCTGCTGCCTCTGGCCACCGCCGAACCCCCCACGCTGCACTGCTCCGCCGCGCCCGCCACCTGCTCCACCGCCGCCACCACTGCCACCACCACCCCCGCCACCTCCGCCGCCTCCACCCCCTGCCCCGCCACTGACCCCCCCACCACCAGCGCTACTCCCACCACCGCCACCACCCCCGCCCCCTCCACCCCCTCCACTGCCGCCGCCCCCGCCGCCACCTCCGCCACCCCTGCCCCCCTTGCCCCTGCCGCCCTTGCGCCTCCCACTGGGAGCAGACGCAGCCCCGACCCCCTCAGCACCGAGGAAGTCGACAGCAGCAGCAGATGCAATGGAGGGGAGGAGGGGGGAGGGGGAGCACCCCTCAAAGAAGGGAGTGTGAGGGTCGCCACGAGAGGCACCTACAGCTACAATGCTCTTCTCAGCTGCGAGGAGTTCCTTCTCGAGCAGGTCAACAGTGAGGTCGGTAGGGGAGAGGGCGAGAAAGTGGTCCCTGACAGTGCGAAGGGAGTCAGGGAGGCGGGTGACCAGGTGATAGAGTGTGAGGTACATCGGGGAGGGTTCTTGGCTAGGAAATCGGGGGGAAGCGCGGCACGGTAGCGAAGATCACAAGTACGAAGTTTTGTGATGAGGTCAGCTACAGTGGCAAAGGCAGACAGATCGGGGAAGAGATAGGGCAGTGAGAGACGGCCTATCACAGCAGTGGCAGGGGAGGAGTAGCGTGCAACTACAGCGTCGTACAGCTCCTTAGCGGTTTTATGCTGGCCAAAGTGCTCGCGCTCATCTAGCGGTAGGTGGCTGCGAACGGCTAGGCGAGCATGAGCGTCACGGGTCTGCCACTGTGATCGAGCAGTGCTGTCAGCAGTAGCAGCAGGCGCAGGAGCGGCGCCGGACGTGTGGTAAAAAAGGGAAACATCGTCCTTGGCAGTGATCTGGAGGAACAGGTGCAGGTCATCGAGCCAAACGTCAAACTTAATCGGACGGCCCTCAGAGTCAAACGTGAGAACGGTAGGACTAGCCATAGTGGCAGTAGCAGTAGCAGTAGTAGCAGTAGCAGCAGTAGCAGTAGCAGAAGTAACAGATGAAGTAGTAGGAGCAGGAGGGGCAGTAAGAGCAGTTGCTGCAAGTAGGGCGGCGCGGTTCGGTCAGGGCGGCGCGACTCGGGCGGCTAGACTCGGGCGGCGCGACTCGGGCGGCGCGGCTCGGGCGGCGCGGCTCGGGTAGGTAAGGCGGCGCGACGGCGCGCCTATGCTCGGTGCGCGGCGGCGCCTAGGGTGCGGCTGCACGCGGGCCGTGGCTGCGTTCGTGCGGCGGCTAAGCGCTAGCAGCAGCAGCCGACGCGCGATCGCCGCTGCGCGCTGGCTGCGTCCTGCGGGCAGGCGGCTGTGGGTCGCGCGTCGGCCTAGGGGCGAGCGGGGCCTACGGGCGACGGCCTGCTGGGGCTCGCGAGAAAAAATCGAGCCGCACTAGGCGGCGAATTTCCTACGCGCGCTAAAATGGCGGGGCCGCGCTCGGGCTGCTAGCGGGCTGCAAACGGGCAGCGTGAGAGGAGAGCACACGAGGGCGCACTAGGAGAGAGGCGCACGAGGGCGCTAAAAAAAAAGGGCGCACGAGGGCACCTCTAGCGGAACGGTGGGCCCTTAGGTCTAGAACCTAAGCTCTTAATACCATGTCAGAAACAAGAAGTGATTGAACTAGGAAGAGTGGTGGTACAAGTATGAAACCCTAAAGTATTGTACCCCCTAAAGGCTAACCCACTGTAGCCTACAGAGCAATAACATATATAATGTTTGACAAGTCTCGCCCTACCTCCCTTGTTAACACTGTTAGTCGTGCTCGTCGTCCTCGTCCTCCACCTGTGTGGCGACCAAGGCCAACAAAGCGAGAGAGGACACTGAGGGGGTAAGCAAGATCGGGGCGCGTGCACATCATAGCATACATGAGTGACCCAACGAGCTCAGGATAGGGTCGCAGTTCTGAGGAGGGAGCGGGAACGGCAGGGGCAGTAAGCTGATGGTTAGCGGGAAGAGGAGTGGAAACTGGCTTAGCCCGTGACATTTCAAAGCGTTCAAGGATGGAGTGGATGTAGAAAGATTGAGAGAGAGAGATGGTGCGCGCAGTACGATCGCGACGAATCTCCATGCCAAGGTAGTGGCGAAGCTCGCCAAGATCCTTGCACAGGAGACGTGCCTGGAGGGCTAGCTTGACAGCGGCAAGGTCGGCAGAATCTTCAGCGAGGAGCACCAAGTCATCGACGTAGGCAAGAATGTAAACCCTGTGGGGGGAAGTGCGAATGAAGAGACTGGGGTCGGAAGAGGAGGTGGAGAAGCCAAGAGAGTGAAGAGTGGAGGCAAGCTTAGCATGCCACTCGCGTGGGGCCTGCTTAAGACCATACACTGGGCGCTTCAGCTCCCAGACAGTGCCTGGAGGGAAGGGGCGAGGAAAGCCAGCGGGGCGCTCAAGGAAAATGCGTTCATGAAGTTCGCCTTGGAGAAAGGCATTGGAGACATCCATAGAGTGAATCTCCCAATTCCAGCGGGCGCCTAGATCAAGAAGGAGGCGAAGAGTGGGGAGACGGGCAGTGGGGGAGTAAGTGGCAAAGTAGTCAATGCCTTCACGTTGGGTGAAGCCTTTGGCGCAGTAACGGGCTTTGAAGACAGGGAGCTCCCCAGGCAGCTGTTTGACACGAAAGACCCATTTGCCCTTCACAATGGTGGCGCCAGGGGGGGGGACAGAGTCAACGTAAGAGTGAGTCCTAGTGAATGCCTCACACTCGGCAATATTGGCAGCCATCCACTCAGTTGCATGAAAGCCAGACACTGCCTCGGAATAGGTCTGAGGGGTGGGAATAGCGGCAGTGTCAACGGAGAGAAGAGTCGGAGAATTGGAGAAGTCGCCAATGGTGACACAGAGGAGGGGTGAAACAGGATGAACAGAGAAAAGCTCCTCAAAGCGATCTTCGAGAAGATCAACGTTCTGAGAGGGAGAGAGACGAGTAAAGAGAGCAGAGTGTTGAAAATTGGACATTGCACGGGTCATGGAGCGGGTGAGACGGGGAGAGGGTGGGGGGGCAGGTGCAGAAGGGAGGGTAGCAGAAGGAGGTGATGAGGGAGGGGCCATGGGAGCAGAAGATGAAGAGGCAGGAGGAGAGATGCCAGAGATGACAGCGGAGGGGGGGGTGGAGGAGGCAGGCAGGGGAGGTGGAGCAGGGGCAAGAGGAAGGGGAGGAGGAGAGGGAGCAGCAGAGGGCAGCGGATCAAAGTCAGACCAATGGAGAGAGGGAGCAGGTGGGGTGGGAGGGGGAGTGAGGAATGGAGATTGAGTCTCATCAAAGATGACATCCTGGCTGCGAATGAGCTGCTAAGAGGAGGGAGCATAGAAAAGGTAGCCAGGACAGTCAGAGTTGATACCAATAAACGCACAAAGCTGCGTCTTGGGAGCGAGCTTCCCACCCTGACGCGCCCGATCAGCGGGATTGATGAGGACATGAGCGACACAGCCCCACACCCGAAGAGGGCGGGCAGAAGGCTGGCGGCCAGTCCAGAGCTGAAAGGGTGTAATGGAAGAGCGAAGGGGATGAGGGCGAAGGTTAGAAAGAAGAGTGGCGTGAACAAGAGCGTAGCTCCAAAGAGAGTGGGGAGCAGAAGCATGCGTAAGGAGACAGCGGGTGATCTCCGTGAGAGTGCGAATACGACGCTCGGCAACACCATTTTGTTCAGGAGAATGCGGAAGGGTGGAGGTTTGGCGAATGCCATGAGAGGAGCAGTAAGAAGAAAGAGAGTGGTTAAAGAACTCGCCACCACCATCAGAGTGGAGGCGCGCGACAGGGCGGCCAAAGCGAAGACGCGCCTGCTCAGCCCAGCGAATGATGAGGGAGGGGGCGTCAGATTTGGCACGGAGGGGATAGTCAGTGGCAAAGCGAGAATGGTCATCGACGAGAAGAAGAAAATAGCGATGACCCTGACGGGAGGCAATGGGAGAGGGACCCCAGAGGTCCATATGCACAAGATCAAGGGGTTTGGGGGAGGCAGAAGGGGAAGAAGGATGGGGAGATTGGGAGAGCTTAGCTTGAACACAAGGGGTGCATGGAGGAGCGGGAGAGGGGGGAAGGGGCGGGAGAGAGGAAGGGAGATCATGAAGCAGCTTCGAGTTGACCATGCTGCGAAGGAGAGGGAAGTTGGGGTGGCCAAGGCGATGATGGAGAAGAAGGGTAGGTTGGGTGAGAGAGCGACAGTCGCAAGAGGAGACGGGAGGGACAGAAGAAGAGGAAGTGTGGTGGACAGATGAGGGGAGGGGAACACGAAGGGTGTAGAGGCGAGTAGTAGGAGAAAGGGTGAAACGAGCGAGGTGCCGGTCGTGGTAATGAAGATCACAATAGAGTGCACCTGCGGGGAAGAGCACTCGTACACCGAGGCGTTGAAGGGCAGGAAGGGATAGGAGGTTGTGACGGCAAGAGGGAACATAAAGGCCAGTAACAGCGCCAGAGGGAGAGGCAGGACAGGGAAGAGAGGAAGTGCCTGTGCAGATCATGGTCATGGTCTCCCCAGCCCCATCAATAGAGAGGGGACGAGGAAAATTGCGAAGAACACCAGCATCACGAAAGACAGAGTCAGTAGCAGCACTGTCAAGGACAAAATCCAAGGTGCGAGGAAGTGAGAGAGCGGCAGCCGTAGGGCTGGGAGAGTGAGAAGCAGTGCTTTGAACGGATGGAACGAGAAAGCGAGGGTCCATAAGAGGAGAAGCACCAAGGATGCTATCCTGAGATGGCATGGTCACACTGAAAACAGAGGCCAGAGAGCCAAAACCAGAGGTTACAGCGGCAGAAGAGCGGCGACGCTGATGGGATAGCGGAATCCAAGAAGAGGGGTGGAGAAGAGGGGAGGTACAACGGCAAGTAGGAAGGGCGGAAGGGGAGGAAGGGGCAGCGAAGGGGGCGGAGAGTAGGGAAGGCAATGGTAGGAGAGGAGGTACGGCGGGGGAAGGGTGAGGATGGAAGCGCAGAGGAAGAGAGGTAAGAGTGAGAAGAGGCCCCATATGGGGGAGGGGATAGCAGTAAAGCAGTGTTGGAGAGAGAAAAGAAGAGGAGGAATAGGGGCGATGTAGTCAGCTGGTGAGCCGTTGAGGGGAGGAATAAGAGGAGGGGGAATAACGACGAAGTAGTCTGCTGCTGCGCCGCTGAGGGGAGACATAAGAGGAGGAGGGAAAACGGCGGGGTAGTCTGCTGCTGCGCCGCTGAGGGGAGAAATACGAGGAGGAGGGATAGGGGCGAAGGAGTCTGCTGCTGCGCCGCTGAGGGGAGAAATACGAGGAGGAGGGATAGCGACGAAGTAGTCTGCTGCTGCGCCGCTGAGGGGAGACATAAGAGGAGGAGGGAAAACGGCGGGGTAGTCTGCTGCTGCGCCGCCGAGGGGAGAAATACGAGGAGGAAGGATAGGGGCGAAGGAGTCTGCTGCTGCGCCGCTGAGGGGAGAAATACGAGGAGGAGGGATAGCGACGAAGTAGTCTGCTGCTGCGCCGCTGAGGGGAGAAATACGAGGAGGAGGGATAGCGGCGAAGTAGTCTGCTGCTGCGCCGCTGAGGGGAGAAATACAAGGAGGAGGGATAGCGGCGAAGTAGTCTGCTGCTGCGCCGCTGAGGGGAGAAATACGAGGAGGAGGAAAGGTGTGGAAGGCGACGAAATATGGACAGCTACCAGCTGCAGCAGATAGGGAGAGAAGAGAGGCGGAGGAAGAGGTGAGAGGGTGGGGGAAATAGAGGGAGAGAGAAGAGGAGGAGGAGGGTGAAGGAGCGGAGTGTGGGGAGGAAGTAGGGTCACGATCACCAAGTGGCAATCAGTAACACGCAGCCAGGTGGCAGATGCGGAGGGGAAGGAGGTGGAGGAAGGGAGGAAAGGCACGGAAGGGAGGAAGGAATGAGGAGAGGAGGAGGAGGGTGAAGAGGCGGATGGGGTGAGGGGAGAAGGAGGAGGTGGTGCAGAAACGGCAGAAGAAGGCGCACCATGGGGGGGAGGGGAAGGCGCCTG